CCTTCAAAGCAGCCTGAACTACTTCTTTCATCACCATAGGCTCTTGCTCATATGTTGTTTCATGAAATTCTTCTGTGTCTTCTAATTCCTTTCGAAAAAAGAAATCTAGAAATAGATGTAAATTCCACAAAACAAGGAATTTAAGGAGGGTAAAAACAATTATTAACAGCTAATGTTTTCCAGTTATGTGCCAAGGAATGTTATTCCATTAAAATCCTGTCAACTGTGAAGACATTAGCACAGCCTTGTCCTCTCCTCTAGACCCTGGGGGGACACATCACTTGTCCAAAGCAGAGCTCTTGATTCTCCAAAGCAGAGCTCTTGATTCTCCCCGAAACCTGCATCTCCTCTGTGACACAGGACACACACCAGGAGTCCCCTCTCCCAGCAGTCCCAATTCTGTTAACTTAAATCCCCTCCCCATCCCTCCACCACACTCTACCCACCTGTCTCCCACCTCAGGGTGGCGGATGCACCTTTCCTTCAGCTGAGTGGTCGCTGCCTCTTCCTGAAGTCTCCACTAAACACCACCTCCTCTCTGAGACACCCCCTCTGCACCAGAGCTTCCACCTTGTTTGGATTCTTTCATTCCACTTACTAGCAGTAGGAATCCCTCGCCCTCGACTGCTTTGTTATACTGTTAGCCCACCCCCAAAACTAAAACGGCAGGCTCGGTCACATGAGAGCACTACGTAGGTCAGCTGGCACCAAAGGCAGATAAAAAGTAGTTGTGTGCTGTCGAGTCAGAACCAACTCACAGCTGACCCTCCAGTGTCAGAGGCAGGTAACAGCTTGGGAGGAGACTGCCTATCTTTCTCCTGTGGAGCAGCTGATGGATTTGAACCATGTTGGCAGCACAACTCCTTAACCACTAGGCCACCACTAACTCCCTATAGTTGAGCTGTTGTTGTGTACCATAGAGTCAGAACCGACCCATAGCTGAACCTCTGGCGGGTTTTCAGAGGCAGTTAATCTCAAGGGAGGAGACTGCCCATCCTTTTCCCAGATCAACTGGTGGATTTGAATTGCGTGGCTTTGGGATTGCAGCGCAGCTTCTGTCTCCTAGATCACCAGAGCTCATAGCTGAGTTAGTAAGTGCTGAAGAAATTCTATCTGTATGGCACAGAGTGGTGTTCTTGATGACAGCAGAGGCCCTGCACTCCTCGGACAGCTGCTCTCCTGGTCGCAACCTGTGGGTGGACTTTACCAGGGCTCTGAGAGGCCAGGGACTTAGGTACTGGGGTTACTGGAGACACCGTGGGCTGGCAAGAAGGAAAGCCAGTGATGAGTGCTTTGCTGTTAAAACTGAGACTCTTGGGCCAGTTTTTGGATACCCATCTTACAATGCTCTGATGGCTTAGTGGTAAGGAACTGTGCTATCAACACAAAGGTATGTGGTTCAAATCTACCAGGTGCTCTGGAGAAGAAAGATGGGCAATCTCCTGCAGTGCAATCTACTATCTCTGAAAACCTGCTGAAGGGTCAGCTATGGGTCAGTTCCAACTCGATGATACACAGTAACATCTTAAGAAAATTTATCAATCTTTGATTAAGAAAACTAGCTTTAGAACCTTAATCTAAAAAAAAAACCCACAAAAAAAACCCCACCTTAATCTAATTCCTAGCTTTATAACCACAGGCATTCACTTAACTCTCTAGATTCCAAATTTATCTTTCATCAAGTGCAGAGACTGGAGCAAATAATAAGTGACCATGGCTAACACATATCAGGCTGCTAACTGAGAGGTTGGCAGTTTGAATATGCCAGCCTCTCTGAGGGGAAAAAAGATGGGAAGTCTCCTTTTAGAAAGATTTATGGCCTGGGAAACTCAGTGGTGGGTTACCCTCAGCTGGAAACGACTCAATGGCAGTGGGGTTTGGTTTCTGGGTTTTTGCAGTAACACTACGGGTATGCTTGTGCCAAGCCCTGTATGACTTTCCAGCCATCACACAAGGCAGGCAGGAGTATTAACCCTGCTTACAGACAAGGCCAGTGGGACACAGAGGTGAAATCACATGCTTAATGTCACACAGTAAATGATGGAGTCAGGATTGGCTTCTTAAGATCTCATTCAGCTCCTGACCTTTAACCCTTGGCCTTCTTGAGACTGTCCCTGCCCTTGTGAAAGGTGGGCTGTCACCCACCTGTGCACAGCAGGATCTTGTTCTGAGTCAGGTGCTTGACGGTTTCTGATGTTTTCCTGAGACACTCCTCAGAAAGGTAGGGAGGATCCGCTATTACTATGTCAAAGCTGTGTGCCACGATTTTCTTGGGTAGATCCAATGGGTTATTGTAATCATAGAAGATAAACTCCTCTCCATATACGGCGAATCTTCTGTCATACTCAAAGAGGTATGTGGAGATGTCTCCTCTGTGCAGCTCCCTCAGCTTCTGGTAGACGCTTGGGGCACTCACACAGGCGATCCTGAAACAGAACCGCACACACAAAGGTTCACAGCAGGAATGGAGTCAACAATGCTGGCTTCACATCTACACTGTTACTCTTTAAAGGAAAAAACCTAGTGGAAACAACTAATAATAAATTTCAAGGAGAAGCTCTGTACTTCCTCACTTGTAAAGAATTTGGTCTTTCTAAGGAAACTGGCAGCTCTGCTCTGAGGTGTGGACGTGTAAATGAGCTTTTATAGGAAGTAAGGTAAAGATTACACTGTGACAGAGGTTTGCTGGATACATGAAGTATTTTCATGTTAGTCCCTTAATACTGATTTCAAATACTTTTATTTCATAAAAAGAAAAAATACTTTTATTTCTAAACTAAATATTGTGAAGTTATTTTCGAGCATTAACAATCTGAAGTGCAAAAAAAAAAAAACCAAAAAACAATCTGAAATGCAAAACCTTAAGTGTTTTTTGTTTCAGTTTTTTTGTTTGCTTTTTTTTTTAAAAAAAAAAGAAGACATTAGAATTAGCTCTCACTATACTGATGGCGCCTCACAGGACATGTGGATTAAATGAGGCGGCATTGGAGCTCGGGTGGCCTAGTGGCAAGGAGCTGCAACTACAATCTCAGAGGCACACGGTTCAAATCCACGAAATGCTCTGCCGGGGAAGGAGGGACAACCTCCTCCTGTACCAGTCAGATCTGATTTGACGGTACACAGACACAAAAAATAATAAAATAAACATTTAAAAAAAAAATGAGGCGGCATTGTGTAAAGTATGAAAACGTTAAAGGAATATGAACACCAGAAACTTTAGCAACAAAAAGGCAACAAACCAAACGCACTGCCACTAAGGGGATTCTGACTCGGGCCGACCGACCCTCTCCTGAGTTCTTGAGGCTGTAAATTTTAGCCAGAGGAAACCAATCTTTCATCTAAGGAGTGAAGGGTAGGCTTGACCTGCTGACCTTTCTGCCTTAGCCCAAAACTAAACCTACTGCATCACGAGGACTCTTTGGGGTACAGTCACTACTCAATAAATGTTGCCTACTACTATTCAACAGCTCTGGTGTCTGAGTACTAAGGAGCTGTGCTGCAAAAAAAAAAAGGCACCAAGTCCAAACCCACCAGCTGCTCCTTGGAAGAAAGATAGGGGCTCTCTCCTGTGCAATTTATTGCCTCTGAACACCCAGTGGAAGGCCAGCTATGCATTGACGTTATACACCAACACCAATGTTAACACTGCTATTCAACAGCAAATAAAAGAAATACAAATGACAGCCTATCAGAGAAACAAAACTATTGTCTCATTTTACTGGTTGAGGCACAGGTCTCTAAGAGACAAGAGGATGAGTGAGCAGCTGAAGAAACAGCATTCAGAAAGCAGAAAAGTAAATGGATGGTGGAAAGCAACTGAGTTTGGGCTTTTGTTTGGGGTTTGGTTTGGTTTTTTTTTTGTTTGTTTGATTGCTATTCATCTTTAAAATTATTACTCAGCTCCTCAAAATGTTGAAGCTACTTTTCACAAAAAAATGAAAAGTTGCTTCCAAGGTTCTGATATTGATGGATAAAAGAAAAGTACATGTAAAAGCAATGCCATTAATAACAGCCTAAGACTTACATTTAAAGACAGCAGAGTGAACACATTCATTTAGATCTGCTTCCTCGTGAAAGCGTGCCAAACAAAACAAGGTGAAGTGTTGTTTCACTTTACTGTTTAGACTTAGATCTCTCTGAGACAACAGGATGAGCCATATAGGAAGCTGAAAAGCAAATGGAGGGGTGGAAAGTGACACAGCAGACCCAGGAGAGTCAGGAAAGCTGAGAAGCAGCCTGGTTTATGTCACAGCATTCTGAACGCCCAGGAAGAGGAGGACAAGGTGAGACTACAAACAGAATTAGCTGAAGTCAGCCTATTGTTAAGAAACAGTTGCCAGGATTCTCTTGCTTACCCTAAGCCTCCAGGTATCTGTTCATGTCTCTCCCTGACTATGGCAGAAAATGAGAGGAATGGATTCTGGTTGGGGAAGACAGGGACAGGGGACAAAGAGTCACTGTGTATACATTAGGATGTGGAGACCTTAGCCTTCTTTCAGCAGTGTGCTCTCCAGAGGGCATCAGGTGCATAAAGTCCAGGCAGGAAGGAGAAGAACCTTCCCTGGTATTCTGACTAAGCCCACAAGAAATGATCTCAGTGTTCCTATGAAGTACCAAATCAACCAAAAGGAGGGTCCAAAGTAAATATGGTCAAAGCTTTCCAGATTTTGAGTGCCTACCCTTAAATGGCCTTATTTTTGCTATTTCCTTCAAAGCAGCTTGAACTTCTTCCTTCATTACCATAGGCTCTTGCTCATAAGTTATTTCATTAAATTCTTCTGTATCTGCCAATTCCTTTCTATATAATGACTCAGTATTTTCCTTCCATCTTCTTTTAATACTTCCTGGATCATTTAATATTCTGCCCAAAGCATCCTTGATTACAGCAACTCTAGGTTT